GGTTCCAACCTATTAGAGGCTATAAACACCCGCACGCTCATTCAACGTGTGGTGGATGTGGTGAACATTGATTCTATTGTATTCATTCTGTTTAGTGTATTTTCATATGCCTTTGTTTTACGATGCGATTGAGAGTACGCCCGCGATATACGAGAATATACGATATTCATTCGTCCATATTCGGACTTCTATACTACGCGTACATTCGGTAGTTAAGATACCTACCACTATTCTAATTATCACATTTTTTCTGCACTGCCCTTTGTTAGACAGTTTCACTAAAGCTGGTTGATTTTCTTTAGGAATAAAAAGTCCTTCTGAAATGCGGTAATATCCGTCGACTATTGGCAATTCATCGGACTGGTAAAATGGGACGGAGGTACATGGCCACTAATCACGGTGATAGATGGAGCATTTCGGCCTGGATCTTGATCGGCGATGAGATAAACTATGTTGAAAATACTGCAGAGTTTTAAATTGCACCGACCCGATGTGTTTACTTCTGGCTTTAGTGCTGCTTTTGTCTTGTGGCTTCGGGACGCTCTATCGTATGAAGCATTTTGGCAAACAGACTCGCCTATTTGGGCAACTCTACACCGTCTGCCACTTCCCGGATCTCCTCTGGTGGTCCTAATACATCCCCGGCTGACTTCCGACAGACTGAATCTAGTGGACCTTCCCCATCAGCGCAGGATTGCTGAAAACCTATGTTGTCCATCAACAGATAACCAAACCTGAATTGTGTGATCCATGTCGCTAGGAGCTCTTGTGATTTGAACTGGAGACTTCGTTCTTTTTAGTACCATGGAGGTGGCTTTCTGTCCGCCTTCACGTTTTGAATGCGCATGCAATCAAACGGAAGCTGCTATTCGTTCGGTTGGCACGCCAAGTTCGGTCTCCTCAAATGTACCCAACTATCGCCACAATTTCCTGAGGCAGCGTGCTGTTCCATAGGGCTCAGGTGGTCCTTCAGCTGAGTCGACGTGTGATGTATTTTGAGTAGCCCAATTTATTGGCAACAGTGTACCGCCGTATCAGAGTGATCTGAAGAGTGTGTTCATGATTGTTGTCCCACCGCTTCCTCAAGAGAAGAGCGGCATTCCTGGTCACCCAAGGGTAAACTGACTTATTGGGTAGCCAGACCACTACACTGGCAACCCGTAATCCATAACTAACTTGGAAGATATTTCTTTTTTCTCCAGCCCTCACCACACGCCTTCATTGGGTTCCAATTAACTGATCGCTGAAGCAGCAGTAAAGTAGGTGGTAGTCTGCTTATCAACCACTTTTTTCCCTAACTGCACGACCTCACTTCTTCCATGTTTATTTTCATTTGAGTTTATTGTCTAACATGTTGGATGCGATTTTTTTCGTGAAAAACATAGGTTAGTTGCCGTATAGGCCATGACTTCGTCACATTCAGCAACGGGTTGCAAGCATATCGTAGACTGTGCTGCCACGTAACTTTGCCCATTCACGGCGAAATAACATTCTGGGGGTTCGGCCCCATTCTCCCAGGCTCTCACCTAGGTTTTCGCAATTTTTCGTATAAATGAAATGGTGCCGCTACTTGTTGCGATTTTCCCCATTTTCGGAGGTTACATTTCAATGGACCGTCAGTTATATGAGGCCTACTGTGTCATTCTTCATGTTCTGTACCTCGTGCAAATGACAAGCTATGGCGCAGTCAAGAATGAAGATTGCCCAAGAATTGTCATGAGTAAACTACATGTCCGAAAGCTTCTATGGTCCGGGAATACTCCGGGCGATGAAGATCCGCTTGGCATCTGCCAGTGGACTGAACACAAAATTTTTCCCGACCGAATGCTTTCTACCTGCTCAATGCCGCTCCATCTACGGGGGGATCCATAGACGGATTCAGGAGATTTTGGAAAATGGCAAAATGGAGGAAGTCAATAGTGCGTACAACCCCGATTGTGCTTGTAAAGAAGGTGAACGTGAAGTACCGGCTTTGCTTGGATTTCCGGCGTTTGAGTGAAATGACCGTAAATCAGGTTGTAGTGTACCTTTGGTTGCGGAAATTTTCGATTCCCTCCAGCATCCCGATATTTCACAGATCCCGTCCGGTTTGTCTGGGGCACCATTCAAATTTCGGCGCTTGATGCTTCATTTAACGAGGGGACCCTAAAAGGTTTCCATGTACAGAGACGATACCAATGTGTACATCGATTTGGAACCAGAACACGCGGTTTACTTGAAGGCCGTATTGAAGTGTGCCCGGGAGGCCTATCTGTGGGTAAATGAAGCCAAGACACAGCTCGTTCGGAGTTTAGTGACACTGTCGGAACATAATTTGGGCCACAGCCGGTTTGTTAAGGATTTCAACACGATTACTGCTCCACTGAACGACTTGCTCGGGCGAAGTGAAAAATTCGAATAAACCAGGGGAGCACATGAAGCATTGAGCATATCAACTGGGTCATCAACTGGCCCTTAAACTGCCCGGGGTCAGAAGGTTGTTTGCTGTTGCAACGGACGCTAGTGATCGTGGTATCGGCTCACCAGAAGAATAGTGTTACCGAATATGTCCTGATTAATGCTGAGCAGTAATGCTAAACTACTGAGAAAACGTGTTTAGCGATTTGCTTTGGCCCTAGATGAGTGAAGGCCATATTGTTCGGAAAAGATTTCATGTTGAAACCAATCATAAACCCCTGGAGTCAATCAGGACCACCAGAGATTCTCAAGGGAAGCTCGCGCGTTGCAAGAGTATGAGGTTGCGATCCGGCACGTTCCAGGAAGCGAGAACCACCGGGCTGTCAAGAACAGAGGCTTTCAGGGTCATAGTTGGTGCCAATAGCCTAGTTGTCGAACTGGATCCGTGAAGGTTGGTGGAATTACAACGGAAGGCTCTGGTGTTACGAAAGGTTGCAGCGGTCGTGTTGGATTGAAGGAGTTTTGAGAACGGAGAGGGAGACGAGGGATTGGAAGCGTTCCAGAGTCGCTTCGATTAGCTGAAGTTTAAGTGAAGCTGGCATAATTTCCCGGAACGGCATTGATTCAGCGTTACGCTACCCGCGATACCACGCGTCTTGAGACGGAGGCTGATAGTCAAATGCCACCAGGTGGCACACACGGGATGCACCCAGACGTACGACTTACTTCGGCAGAGGGTCCATTGGCCTCTGATGAAAAGTGAGTTGACGGATTATGTGGTGTCCTGTAAGCGGTGCCAACCGATGAAAAGGGATACGCTAGGAGCAATCCATCCCGAGAATCCCTTTCCTGCCTCAGAAATCGGCCAGTTGTGGTCCATTGACGTCATGGGCCCCTTACCAGTGAAGGCCAGCGGAAAGCAATGTATCGTGATAATGACAAAATACCTATCGCTGTGGGTTGAGGCGGCAGCCGTTTGAACTCAACGGGCGACGAGGATCGGCGGAGCGGTAATGCATTACATAGTGGCCGACCTTGTAGTACCAAAAATGATCCAAACCGATCAGGGGACTTGCTATGCAAAAGAAGTGTTTGGGAGTTGCTTGCAGAGAGTGAGCATCAGACGGCTGAGGACGGCACCATAGCATCGGCAAACAAATGGCCAAATCGAACGTAATAATTGAAAGATCAATGAGTGGCTGGCGGCCAAAGGTGACCGGGAAGTGAAACGCCTGATGGTGTTGCTAGCTCATCGTGCTTCCATACAGTTGATGTACGTTCGACATCTGCACCTTCCGGTTGATCAAAAAATCGGGTTGTGACCGGCAACACGCTTGTATTCGAAATAGCTAGCAGAAGAAGAGAAAGCTTGACTGCCGATCAAGAAAGGGGTGAAGAGAAAACGGCAAGTAGAAAGGCGTCACCATTTCCCATAAGCGCGAAGGTCACGCGGAAGGATCGTCAGAACCCCAAAAGGAGTGGACTGACCTCGCGGAAGCTGGGCAGTCGATGACAAGGTTCGTTTGTCTTTACTGACCACCAGGGAAACGTCTAAACAATTGAAAACGGTTGGTGATGAGAAAGCGCAAATGGGACTGAGCTTGAAAAGTGGCATGACACGTTCGAAGAACGTTCGAACAGACTAGCTGCTGGAGGCGACCTAAAGGAGGTAAATGAAAATCGGTGGCATACCAACGGCCTTTAAACGGGGAGGTTGTGTAACGGTGGATACTACTGATAAGGCATGCGAGTAACATGTTTTCTGGTAATTCCGCTTTGCGTCTTTGGAAAGTGGAATTTATTGCGGTGGGATTGCTCTGTGGCATTCGAGTACAGTTGCGCGATAGTCAATGAACATCCAGGAAAAATCAAGAAGACGCGTTCAAGAAGAAGACGTGCATTCAGTTTTTATAACCAAGATGCATGAGAAAGTTTTGCTCCCCTGCCCAATAGTCTGCCACTGTTCAGCTGGTGTTTTTAAATAAATTGCTCCGCAGCGAATACCTTCTATCTTTCATCAGTGTCAAATAAAATGAAAGTAGTTGAAACCGTGAGAATCTGGCTATTCACCTTGGAAACTAATATTGTTCATCTGTGCCAATGGGGTGTTCGCCTGCCCACATTTTGTTGATGCAGAGAAATTCTTTGTGATTTACAGGTTCCAATATTTTACCTTTTAAAATATACTCAAAGGATTTAAAATATATAAACAAGTTCGACCACACCTAGCTCGTAAACTTCAGTAAGGAAAGAAACTTTTTGTGGTCGAGGTTTAGGGGACACCTTTAGTAATGTAAAATACTGTTAGGACCGCAAAAATTGGTGGCTTTGAACCCCGGTAATTTCAGTCACTTTACCAAAAAAGATTTTCTGCACCGCGAAACAGTGTAATTTTGACGTGCGACTATTTCTCATACACCCATCTAAATAAACAAATTCCATTTCGTGTCCATAAACTTGACCATGGTGTTATTAGTCTTCATGGTTTTCCATATTTCAGTGTTTATCGGTGATTGCGCTTTAACTGGTTGCTTATGTGGTACCCCAGTTTACGGCGTTTTTCTGGTTCACCGATTACAACAAACACAGAAAGTTAAAAACCTCCAAAACCTGTTTTTTGAGAACGTTTCATAAGTTACAAAGTTGCGAATGCAGCATCACAGAGTTCGCACAACCACTTCCGCCCTAATCCGGGCAAATCCATGAAAGAACCTTGCATTTAGGAAATACCAAGAATATAATTTGGGAAATAAAATCTCAAACTGGCCTCATATTTATAAGCAACTTTTAAAAAGCTTTAGACATTGGAAAAATGGCTCCAAAGATATGTTGAGAATATTGCTAGTTTTGGTTCATATGTGGTGAAAGCTCGTGATCAGCTGATGGCACAGCACTTTCCATTCTTCTCCCCATCGTTCCTCACAACCAATTCAGCTGCACGCCGAAACGTCTGCTTGACGTTTTCACCTGTCTTGGCGGAGCACTCATAAAGGTCTGTGACCTGCAGTTTACGGGCATTTTGTGAAATCTGAATGAAAAATAGTAGAATGAACGTTGCGGTCAAATATCCATGCAGCGTTATGAAAATCTCATATGCAAAGCGCTACTTGCCACTGGTGGACTAATTATAAACAGGCAAATATTTTCAGACAGCTCAGCGGCTATTCTGTTAACGAAAGATAAACTGTGTCATGAAGGCCCGGTATTAGAAGTTAAGCATTACTTGAAAGGTTTGCCTAAGTAGGTATACAGCTTAACGCTCAGCACATCTGATAGCATCACTCGGTAACCTGAGAAAGGCAATAATCAACAAATCAATCTCGAAAAGGGCAACCGTTAGAGCACAACCACTTACCAAAAAGTGAGTAAACATAATATGTACGACAGATGCCCACAAGCTTCTTCTAGTAAGAAATTCTCCCCGAGTTTACATCCTTAACTCTGGCATTCAAGTTTTGGTGGGCTTACATGCTTATCATTGAGAAATGCACTATGTTTCATCCACACTGGGACTGATTAAGTGGAGGTGGTATGTGGGTTAAGAGCGCAGCACGCTCAGTAAACAGCTGCTTTTGGTTCGGGAAATCCGAAATGCAATGCTCATATCTTTTGCCTTGGATTATCAAGAATAATCCTTTCAGTAGAGCGGCAACGCTTCACATGATGCAATCTGAAAACAACTTGAAGCCAGGTTTAATTGTACAGTAACTTTGGTTTCTTAAAGGAAATTACTCACAAGGTTGCTGAACACTATTTGACAGCTCACTCGGTTTCGCCCTTCTTGGAACTCATCAGGTAGGCGCAGTCTCCAAGTTTCCGTCAACCTTATGATCTACTTGAGCCCAAATTGCACTGTTTTCGAGAAATACACTCATTTGCAAATCTATTTGGTTTTCACAAGAGACTTAAAGGGAAGCACTGGACTCGAGTTTCGCTCTTATTGGAGCTCATTAGTAGTTCATGCCCAACTGCCGTGCCGGTATTTGAACCCCGGATATCTGACATACGAGGCGAGCGTGTAACCACTACTCCACCAACACAAACTTGTGAGTAGTTTCCTTTATGAAAATCTACTTCGATATCTCGAATATCGTGCCAACTGAATCATGAGCTGGCCTGTGTGCAGCACACTCAGTTGTAGAATATCATAAACGAGAGATTCAAATGAGTCTCCCGTGAAATCCAAATTGATTCGCAAATGAGTGTATTTCTCGAAAACTTTAGTTTCTCTTGCAAAACACGGACAGATCTCTGTTAGGCCGCCGCACAGTATAAGTGCTTCAATAGGATCTCCTAGTGAGGAGTGAGGACGCCGATCCTCACACTTCAGGCCTTACCATCTCAGCGCTGGCCAGTTAGACGGTTAGTTTTCACCAGGTAAGCCAGGTATGCCGGTGGGTGGTATTCTGAGCAAGATTTTGCCATATCATTAGAAATATGATCACTTCTGAGGTCGGATGGTGTTTTGGGCATAGAAAGCCGAAAGGTTGAAAAGGTATGGATGCATCAGTGGTCTGAGGTCCAAGTTTCATTATAGTACAGACAAACCACACCTACCCTTAGGTACAATAATATTACCAGGTGTGTATCTTGATGTTTCGATAGGTTCAGATGTGTCTTAATTCAAAGGAAATTACCTGGTCGTGCTTTTTAACGGATCTTCCACAAGACTCGAATCATACATCATACAAAATTGATATGGCTTGGAAAATCCAGTTGTCTAAAATTTTTTTCATGTCAGAGGCAGAATTAAATAGAGTGCAAATCCACAAAAGGCCAAAATGCCAGAATGGGAGCCTCCTATCACAGAAAAACCTTCCTCCAGGTCAAGAGGCTCCTAGCATCCAGTGGATGGTCTGGAGAAAAGAGAGTTTTCTGATGAAAATATGCTGATTAACTGATAGGAAATAATGGTTTATCAAGAGAAAATCGTGGGAAGGATACCAAGCTTATCGTTGATTTTGTCACTAATGTTAGGCCAGTTGTTACCAGACATAAAATGGGATCAAAATCCTTACATTTTCACAGAACCACCGTGTTGGCTAGGTAAACTTGTGAGAGATTGAAAGGATACGTGGACAATACAGGTATCTTTGCCCCGCAAATTCTGGACGGATAAATAAACGTGCTCTTTTATTGCTAAACTCTTGCTATACCTTCCATAAAGAGTGTAATTCAGGCCAAAATTGTCTTTCTATGGACTGAATTCCAGGTGACAACATCAATAAATAAACGTTGCACCAGTTTCACTGTACTATCACGGAAGATAAGCCAACCGAATTCCTTAAAACACAGTACTATTTTGTGTCAGTTTTGGAGGATGTTGTGTTTGTGAGCCGCTGCTGTCAGCTGCTCTTATGGTCTAGTGAACCATGAAACGATAGATGAAAACTCTCCTAAATGACTAGACCGTGGGAGAACTTCCGTCTGAATTGGGGAAGCATGCATGTACTTACCCAAATTGATTTTAACTGGAAGCATTATCAAGAGGAATCAGTTTTACAGCTTTACCCGAACAACCTGACAGTACTGCCAAGGGAGCTGAATTTAAACAGTTATATGAACAACTCGAGAAAATACATGCTACACGTTTTGAAAACAAGGACCAGTTTGTAGTGGAATTTATTATTCTCCATAACTGCATTTGCCCCTCTCCGACGAACGAAATTCGTTTTTCTGGAAAGGAAAACGCTAAATTTCTAAAAATACCATAGAGCCAGGATGCTATCCTAATGAGGATACACGAGGAGCCTGGCTTGCTTATTCTTAATAAGATGGAACAGTTGGTTACATCCAACACAAGTTCCTCCCGTATTCCAAACATTTCATCCGATAAACAGCCAGAATAGGTGCGATTTATCTAAGAAGCGAAATGTTGATTTTGTAGTACAGACTTAATCATTATTATTTATTGTGTCATAATTGAACCTATCTCAGCTCCACATACTCTCAGAGCTCATAAACCCTGCTCGTTCCTACTAAAAACAGCTTGAAAGGTATTTATAAATATACATCCTGCACAGGATACTTTAATTTCACTCCGAAAATGGTGTATTGATTTGGGGATTTTTACCAGCATCTTTCTTGTCGAGACTGTGGATCTCCCAGTTTCAGCACCAAGGTCCGGCCAGACTTCCGGTCTGCATTTAGGAACTCATTATTCTGTCTGCTAATAGTTTTGGTTCTTTTTTGAGGCAGTCACCTGTAGGGTGTCACGGTCGTTGGGGTTTAACCTTGACTGGCATTTGCAAGTTCAAGATTGGGTAGTGGACGGGAGCGGATATGCAAATACTTTTGTTCAATGTTTAGTTAGATAGTTTACTCACCAAGAAGATAACCAGATAAGCTAAACTCCTGTTTGTCTTCACCACCCTTCAGTGGAGCAATTTATTTAGTTGCTCATACTTATTATCGCCATAGTTATTATCACCAGGTCTACCGACAGTACTGTCTCGCTCTGTAATAAACCTCAGCTAACCAATACAGAGACTTAAAACCCCTTCGGTAGAGTACACTCTTGCTTTGCTTAGGCTATGTTGCTTTTGAAAGAGACAGATATGAAGTCTGGGAGTATCGAGAATATTGGATAGGCCGTAGGTTCACAGTGGTCAAACAAATATTCTGAACGCTCCATTGGGTGGTCCCTTTTTTCATGATCAACTACAACTGTAAGTCACACAATGAAAAGTCACTTATATCAACATTCCTGACCCTGATAGCAACATATCCACTTAATCCATGGGACTTTAAATTTGTCCAGTACAACTGTATACAGTACAGTATGCAGTACAGTACAGTATGCAGTACAACTGTATACGAAAAAACAAGTACGGACTGTCATCGGTGCCGGTCAAAATTTCCAGCTCTTGTTTATTTGCAATTGATCACACTACCAACTCACCTGCAATAACTTTATCTGTAAGATTCATCCGAGGCTTGAAAAATGAGTACAACAGCAACTGCCGAAAAAATAATAGACTCCAATCTAACTCATCTCTGATCAAAAGAGGTTCAAATGGTCAAAAAACCAGGCATCTAACTAACTCAGGACACAGAAATGAGCACCACTCACTTAAGTCTTAAAAAAGGCACACAGACATGTGGCTTCAAGTTCTCTGAAACGATTTTCATTAACCGTTTTAAGTCTGTTCTGTAGATCGGGAGGACTTAAGAATAACCATAAGACTTCCTGATGTTGTTGCATTGCTTCAAACCCATATGTTTGCATGTGGTTTGCATATTTTACGGCCAAAGTAAACGTACGAAACAAATCCACTCTGCAACGCTGTATCCTCGACTCTCATCGGCTCAATGTGTATGGAATCATAATTACTTAGTGAACTTTGAAAATCGGACACACCAACACCACATATGATCTACCCATTCAACGTCCTGGCATAGAAGTCGAGTTATCTCTGTTGGCTGTACAGCCGCGACAAATGTTCAACACATTAAGTCTGACAGAGGGGCAGTAGCTGAGATTTTGTTTTTTACCCAGGTGTGTGAGAAAGAGAGAAAACACTGGCCATTGGAGTCTGCCACTGAGGTCCGAAAATTTGATATGCAGTCACGTCAGCGAAATACCGAATGGAGCAGGCTACAACAAGTTAAGCAGTTTTAAGAAGTATGGCACGCATAGATTACTTATATTTCTGACAGGTTTGATCCAGCCCTGAGGATATAAAAACCTCGGCTAGTTCGGCATATCTGTCGCACTGTGTCTTTCTGTGACATAGTTCTATACGTGGAATGCACATCGTTTGGAAATTCAGGATGGCTTTTTGTCCTAGGACCCGACATTTCTGTGCCGAACATTAAGGAGAAGAGTTCCTTCACACAGTATGAATAAGAGTTAAGAACAAAGAAAAATCAGAGACTTTGTATTATCCACCTGAAAATTGCCGCTCATGGCGAAGCGTCTTGAAGCTTCAGAATACTAATAATTTTCCTTTCCGGAACACTGCAGCACTTCTGAACATTTAGTGAATCCTTGTAGGCCAGCATACATCAAACGAATAGGGGCAAATATGGCAGTTAAATATTTATGTCTGTTAGTAGTCAGGTTGACCGCTGAGCTCGGCGCTTTTGTTGCGAGCTTTTCAGCACCAGTCGATATAATACCATCTATGTATTGTTGTGAATATGAAAGGAGCTGCGCGTTGATGGTTGTGCACATTCACTTGTCTCCTAATAATTTATGAGACCTTTCAGTTTATTTACTGACTAACAAGCGGATCGCGGGTGGTTCTGTACGCATGAGCAACCTCACAATATCTACTGCACATAAACAATGCTTTCAGTAGCAGTACAGACCTGAAGTTCACTCTGCATATTAAGTCTATCGGCCTTCACTTTCTTTGTAGCACTACGAATCTAACAGAAATAAGCAAGGCGTTGAGAACGGACTCCCTAAATGCTAAGCCGAGGAAATAGGCAATTTTCTGAGGCGCAGCTCATTGATAGTTTCTTTTGAATGATTGCTGGTAGAATGAACCTCATTTTTTCAGCGAATCTCTCGTCATAACAAAGCAATAGAATGACGCTAGTCGAAGCAGCAAAATATAGAATTAACAAAATAGGAAACATCACCCTATTTACGAAAAGATATTCTTCATAAGAGATCAATTTTAAGCCATCCCGCTACATTCACGCTTCATTAGGGACGGAAGAGGCAACAAAAATATGGACATTTTCAACATATACGAATGAGGATTCGGGAGTTCCTTTCGGATATCAAAGGAGCTAGGTGTCAGAGGACTGAGGTACGGACCATACGAGCATAGGCTGGATAAGCTGGACCTACTCACTCTAGACTAACACAGGCAGAGTCAACGTACGTGTAACGTACATAACGTATCATGCGCATTCATGTTATTTCCAACTTCCCAAACCAGTCTGACGAATTTGTTTACGCTCCGGCTAATGCACGCCTGAGAAGTCCATATACATCCAGGAATCCGCTTGAAACCCTAAGTAGTCTCGGCATATAATTCCGTACTGGCCAAAAATGATATTCACGTTTTCGGAAAGATGCTGGAAAAATTCCTCCTAGGGTCACACGACTTTAGAGGGTAATTAATTTCTAAGGAAGGTTAACCCCCGAAATATTGACAACCAACTAACTAAGTGATACCTGCTCGTGAATCATCACCGTCTGTTGACTCACCTATATTTCCGTTATAAGTCTCCCCTCTCCCTTCTTACAAATGTAAATGACTGAGCTACAAAAGGAGGATGGAAGGAGGGCAAACAGAAGAAGATACTGAACAAAGATAGATAAAGCGAACAAAGTGTAGAAAATACGAAAGCAACGCCTTTCCCTATAGATTCTTATCTTTGTGTGATTTTTGTGATTTAAAACTAACCAATGTCAATTTCGGACGCATCCAACTTCTTTAATTTTGCACTTACGCACATATCCAAATCGCACTTTGAGTCAACGGCCGCTAAAAAATTACTTATCGAGTTGAGCGGAAATCCGTGAAACACTAGTGGAACACCTTAGTGCACATACACAGTGGAGGATTCGTTGCGAGTTACTGTTGAGTGAGCTCCAATTGTCCATCTAGTTCAAGTATGTCGAGTTCAAGAGAAAAAGAAAACAAAGCCAAAAATTTAAATTACATAATCTGTGTGGGATAAGGAGAAGTTCAGGAGCAAACTGTGGAATCGTCAAGCGATTTGGAAGACGAAATAAAGGCACTAGAAAGTAAGGCTAGATTTGCGCTTCCCAATTGTCGTAAAGTACCCTGCAATCTACCCAGCATAGCTCAGTAGAATTGAGTCATGTGGGCTTCATCTGTATGCTCTGTAACATATCGCAACGACAACACATGAGGAAAGATAAGACTATAAAGTACAAGTGCCTAATCTTTACTGAAAAGCACCAACAAAGGGCATCGAAAGTGCCCTGAAAAAAATTTGAAATGTTAACAGTCCAAATGAGGGCTTGAATACTGTCTCCCGCCTGGGGATTTCTGATCTTGGTGGAGATGATGAACTACTTCCTTCTCTCTTCATCCAAAGGTAGTATTTTAAACTGACTAATACCCGGTGGAATAGAAAGCCTGTTTGGCGATTTGACTTCCAAAGTAGCTACTCACAGTCTCGAGGCAGAGTAAGTAAATGAGGAATTCCGAATCTTTTTGAGGGTATGTCTAACACAATTCGTAGTCTACTAAAGTTACACAAAGATCGCACACAGAACAGTTTAACTACCTGTCTTGTTACCATTTCATACATGTAAGAATAAATGGAAATAGTTAATGTCTGCTGTGGAAATCTCAACTTACACCTAATTCGTTAAAAAAAGTGAGCATTACACACGTATTTGCCTTCTGACGAAGTGAAGGACAGCTTTTTTCTGGAGCATACTGTGAGAAATCGCACCGCTTTGATCAATTTTTACTTATTTGTACTCGAAAAAAGGTTTTGTGTCCGAATTTATTCTACCGCTCCTTTGAATAAAACATTACTAAAAAGTGCTTGTGAGGCAGTCTTTCATGGATTTTGTGAGCTTGATATCAATGATGTGTCTGCTGTCCATGGAGGTGCGTATTATTTATTAAAATCAAACAATAAGGCGTTAGCGAAATTGGTCCATTTTTGGAAGGGAATGTTGCAGTGAACGAGAAACTTTAGTTCCTGTTAAGGATGGATTGTCGAATTGAAGGAAGCAGATCAGTTGCCTTAAATTCTCCAAACGCACTGAGAACTGTGAGGCAAATGCTTTTATCAGGGCAGAAAAACGTTTCCGATTTGGTCAGACTGACTGGAGTGGTCACCTCTCCGAAGTTGCAACTTCAGTGGTTATCAACGGAAACAACACTGATGCTTCATTATCGCAAAACCAGCAAGTTTGTCTGATAATATTTAAAGCCATAGAGTGAAAAGACAACAGTGGTTGCAGGAGAGGATCCAATACTAGCCTAATGCAAGCATTCAAAGGTGTTTACACCCCCACGCCTATACCTCCTTAGACAAATTGAAAAAAACTGAAAGCATCAATGCCAAGGACATCGATCAGTCACCGTTTCTTGCAATATCTCCAGCCTTACACAAAGAAGGCCGCTTGAACCCCATCCAAGGAGGCGGGTAGCACCAAAACATACAATCTCCGTAGTAGTCTCTTTCACACCCTTCTACGAAGTCATACGTTGTCCACCTCGCAGTTTCCGCCATTCTGGAGAAGGCACAGTGAACAACACTCGTCTCGGTCAACAGTACTGCCATGCCTTGCACAAGGCCGAGTCACCGCGGTTGATGGTGCCGGACGTTTATTGCGGCTGAATTATCTGCTGCACAACCAAATATCCTTTCTCTAATTGCCTTTTGTTGTAAGCTCATTGACGCCAACCGTCACCAGCAATGCTTTTGGGACATGAGTGGTCAAAGGCCCAAAGACACCCGATGTCGTCGTCCCGCAACCACAAAATAAGGCAACCATTATTGTAGTCCGGTGCACGCGACTCTTGGGACCTAGTGATATACGGTTTTGAGACCACAACTGATGCAATCTGGCAAATGTGATTTGCGCTTTGAGGTTCGTACACTGACCTTATCGGGCACATTTCCGTCACTAATAATACAACTGATCAATTTGAATGTGAACAGGTACAGAAGCACAGAATTATTAAAGGTGAAATAGCGTGTGATGAACATGACTGATACTCTTTTCGTTGCTCAATTCATTATTCCCTTGTTTTAATATTCCATATGCTGTACATATACGCTAATTCGAATACATACGTGCTACTTGTTGCGCTGATCTGAATTCTAGATTTCTAGTTCGTCTGGTTATTCCGATATACGTCCGAAACTTAATTCTCACATAGCGTTAACCTGTACTTCATTCCACCCCAGATGCCAATGAGTCACCCTTGAAATCATTAGAACACAGTTATCTCTTAATTTAGAAGTAAAATTAAATTCCATAATCCATTTATTAGTGTAATCTGACTCTTTTTGCTCGTTTATGCTAATGAAACGCTTTATGGAACCAAACAGGGGGTTTGTTGTTACCACAAACTTTTTATTAATCAGGATAACAAATTAAATAGCTTCTTGATATCAACAGATATAACCGTCCTGTTCATTCAATAAGATTTCAAAAAGGCAATTTACAACGGTATTTTTCGCAACGATGGACAGTGCCGTCAAGGGGACTGTCTCCAGGAAGAGAACGCTGATGAAAAAGGAGCCATGAAACTTTCTCTTAACAGTCAGGCAGGTTTGTTGTTATCCTAACATTGATAAATAGTGTCTTCTTTGGCGTATTACTGGAAATGCCGGAGGCGTACTGAACAAAATACGGGAAATTTAACAAAAGGTCGAAGAGCCAGAACAAATTATTGAGATTTGTGTGGTGATTTTTAGTTTACGTGTAACCTTTTCCGACTCAATTTCGCTTACTGATGTGAGTCAACAGTTATGCAATATTAAATTTTAGGGCAGATTTCCCAGGTCCTTCTTAAAGGCTGATGAGCGCTATGCTAAATAGCTATACCATTCGAGAAGAAATGAGTTCAACGAAACAGTTCAAATTTAATAAACCAAATTTACACATAGTTTCTACTAGTGTATGCGTTTTAGCTCAACTATATGCAGTGGTTAGCCGAACGGCGGCTGGTTTTCGTTCTCTCATATGACGCACTTCAATAAGAAAGGGGGCTTTAAATTGTTCGAGAATATAGGAGTCAAAATATCTGAAGAGCTTTGTTAGATTATGTTGCCATCATCCATAAGACTAAACATTAGTGCCGTCTCAACTTGTGATATTATCGCACCCGTTCTACAAACGACACACATGAAATTCGGAATCAATGAAGGAATTATTTAAGTTTGTGGTGCTTGATTCCAAACAGTGTTCAGGTTTTAGTGCGTTGTCTGAAGGTGAACAGTGTGCAAATGTTTGAAGTCAGTTACAGGCTTACCATATTAAGATTCAACTTACCGCATCTGGCTTGATCAGGTCTGCTGAACTATCTACTCTCAAATCAGATTTTGTCAGGGCCAGGAGCAGCGGCTGTCTGGTCATTCGAGCGGCCCGGAGCTCTTCCAGCCACTTTTTAGAAAGATTTTCTAACGAGACTGGGTTGTCCAAGGACGCACAAAGGACCACAGCATCACAGTTTGGATACAATGCCATGCGCAAACGTCGTGCCTCGTCCTGACCTGCAAGAGAGAATAAATCAAATTATTTAGACTTATTTACATTAAACGTAGTGATTAACACTTCGTCATCGTGCTACGAAGTGGATAGTATGTTGATCACTGTGAAGCTCAATCGCTCCAAGCTACACTACTGGTTATGAGTAGCGTCACTAGTGGAGCATTGCATCTAATATGTTTACCAGTCATTACACAACCAAGTTAAGAGGATTTCCAGGTTCATTGTAAAAAGCTGCATTTTTGGGAAACACCACAAACGAGATATTTAGCTGGGTTCCAAATGAGTCTCTCACATTAGTTTACAAATGAGTGTATATCCGCTGCATTCTTGGAGTTTTGGTCAGATTTCGTGAGGTGCACACCGCTGACGTTTTTTAAACTGAATTTTAATCTACGCCTAAGTCGTACAAATCTAATAATATGGGTAATGTGTTGCAAAAATAATTAAGGAATGAACGTAGCATGCCCATATGGTTGGTGAAAACTCTTCGACAATCCATGACCGGTTTTGCCCATCTCGGTGATCATCATTTTGTTGCAGTCCCCGAGTTTCCTTCAACCTTATTTTTCACTTTTTTCCCAGACCGAGTGTAGTCAGACCCAAAGGATGACTGATGTTTATTGTTTAGATGTCGGGTTTACGCATTTAACAACACTGGCCCAAAAGAACCCAAGGTAGCCATAATGAAAGTTTGTCAGTTTTTCGGTGGCCGAGCACTCAATTCTGTGTACATCTATGTTGTTATGGTATTTCGGTGGATAGCTCAATTCATCTTCAGTTGCGAATTATATTGACATCGAACTGGATGACTCTTCCAGGTAACATCTCATCAACACGCACATTTGAAACTGTAATGCTTCCAGATAAAGCATATTCTTGTATCTGAAAAAGGATGTGAATGGTGGGGAAAACTGTACGGTTTTGACGATAAGTTCGCAATCACACTGATTGTAAAAGTGTCTTTCATGTCTTCGCTGATTGAACAATGGGGACAGAACTTTCCAAAGTTGAGAGGCAATCCGAGGGCATCCGTGCATAGAACTAAAACCGTAGGTTTGGAGGGAATTCGATTGGGCTGCCCACGTTTTGCACCCTAGAGGAAAAATGATTACTAATCATCGATCACCTCCAATGGAACAGGTATTCTTGCTTTTATAATGTGTCACGAACAAACTGACATCACAACGGTTTCAACGGAGTGTGCTTACTGTCTGACGCCCGAGACAAAGCAAAGAACATCAAATAATTTCGTAAGAATTGACATCTATCCTGAAACATAGGCTGCCTGAAAACGTAACAGGCCTGTCTAGTTACACAGACAAACGGGTGTGAAGGTACACAGATCCAAAGTTAAAAACCGGGTCACATCGCATAACAAATGCAAATGAATGTTTCGCTGTTCGACCAATCGATTAGCATCGTATTGTGGGCCTGGCTACACAGGCAGCCGCGTGACCTAAGGCACAAGGTTTGCCGACGGACGTCGTACGTCCTCATGAAAAACGAAGATCAAGAATTTTGTTTCGAACCTGACGTCGCTTACGACCTAATTGTTTAACCACGTTCAAAAGTCCTTCCCATGGGTAATCTGCTCTGTTTCTGCACACAGAACCGTTTTTTCTGGCCTACGTAGATGATAAAGCTTTCCGATGGACTGATGAAACGTTGCGCCGTTTGGTTTTTAAAAACAACGTGGCTTTACACGCAAAGTAGATGCATTCTTACGATACTTATATTAGTTGGAATAAAATCAGTAGGTGGCAGTTTCATACTCACATCTGTCTCGTCTAGGCAGTTAGCTTTCTACCCTGACGAAATTATTTTGGTGAGTCCGTATTAAAAGGGGAAAGCGCCAGACTCCAGTTTCGCTTCATCAGCTGTAGATATATCTGGCCGTGTCTTGGTTTGAACGCGGATAATCCAACGTGCTGGACTTAGCTGAATCACCACGCATGAACAGGCAGGCGTGCCCACGACTGAGCTTCCTCCCTTCAGTGGACTCACCAGAATAATTGCACTAGGACAGGCCGAGCGTTTTTCAAGAGTCGGAGATGTCAGTATGATTTCTACGAATGCCACAATCATCTACAGCTAATTAGCATTTTTCAGACGGGTGAACTTATTAAACTTCCAATGAACTAGAGTTTTACGGAGTTTCAGAAGGTTGTCCAACTTGACACGAGGACACGGATCTTTGACTTGACTGGGCTGAGCGATTACAGAAACGGACAGCGTCATCAACCTTATGACTGATCCTAGCGTTTAGTCAAATTTTATTCACCAAGGGTCGCTATGAATTCACACAATTCCTAACCTGATTTATAGAAGGCTTGACCCACTGCCAACTGAATCATGAGGCGGCCTGTGTGCAGCACATTCAGCTGGAGAACATCATAAACGAGAGATTCAATTGAGTCTCCCGTGAAAACCAAATTGATTTGCAGTTGAGTGTATTTCTCGAATACAGTACAATTTGGGTTCAAGTAGATCATAAGGTTGACGGAAACTCGGGGACTGCGCCTACCTGATGAGCCCCAAGAAGGGCGAAACCGGTCGTGGGCTGTCAAAGGGTTTTCAGCAACCTTGTGAGTAGTTTCCTTTATGAAGGCTTGACCCACTTTACAGCGCTTTGGTTATGTGTCATTCCGAGCTTCTGTTTTGATTTAATGACAGTTCCAACGAGGTAGTTTTAATAAATTAAGTTGTAACGTAAATCGTCGCTATAAGTGCTATCATCTCATGGAGCTGATGGGATGAATATCGTTTATCTGGCTGTTATTTTGTCATATGGGCTTGAAAAAAAGTTTCCCAGTTCATGCAAACATTGTGTCTTGTTGTCACAAGCAAGAAACCAGCCTGGCTTCAGCTGTCACTACTCGTACCAGAGTTTGAACAAGTCCATATGCGTTGATAGAAGCCGGATAACACGGAGTGGTCTTACTGAGGTATTTGTTTTCTGCACGCATACTGTCTAGTAAACCTTAGTATGTCGCAATTTTGGGTCCGGTTGCTGATTTAATTGCTTGCCGCTTGAGTGTTTCGTCCCAGAAACTGCGCGAAACATTTTCTACTGCGATGCTTATTTGAAAGTGCTTTGAAAATTGACGACTGAATAAGTTGGTATGGATTTTAATTGACAGACGTAAGTTATGGTTCTTGTCGCAAGTATGTGCATTCTCAAAGCAGCCATCTACTTAGAAAGAAAGTAGCAAATGCTATCCACGCCCACTATTGCGCAACCGAAACCCAGGTCTTCAACTGTTCGAACTTAGAACGCAACCGAAATTTCGGTAAATAAAAAATGGCAAGAAGTGTTTTACACTTGGATTTGAACTATGTTTGGACGCTGGTTGCCATTACCAACAATTTGTAAGGCATGTTGTGGATACTGGTATACCAATGAAAAAAATTTCCGTACGCGATTAGCGCAATGCGTGGAATAAAGCAGTACAGTCTTATTTGAGAAATTTTGTCGTACATAATGTATTTCATCCTAAACTTATACCCATTATAAAGCTAATTGAATTCCTTTAAACCATGCGGAACACGCATTTCGTAGACGATAACGGAGGGCTTACGGTTTCTACACTGAACATTACCGCAATCAAACAACATCTATTGGAGACCATTAGGTTAAGCAGCAGAAGTCCGTATTTCCTCGCGTGTAGAAGGTACAAAACCGATCGTCGCTAATGAAAAAAGAATGGCTACATGTTCAACAGACTGCAGGTGTCGACTGTTGGTCGATTTCTAGGTTTTTCGCATCCAGTTGTCCAAACCAATCAATATTACCTTGGAGATGCTAGCCACCACTATCTCCTAGTGTACATACATAAAACAAGCATTCTAGGTGGGTTCTAGAATGATGTCTCCACACTGTTTGCTGAATGTTTGCTGAATCCAATTAATATTATGCTCTATGACCACATAAACAGGTGTGGTGTAAAACTCTGTGTGAAACGAATGACATTTTGCCATAATGGATCATGACCAATAGGGGGCCGCATGTGGTCTTACAAGTTACATTTTGTCCCCGTTTAGAGAAGCTTCTGTTCAAGCTATGGTGGACATCTGAATTTCCTGACAGAAACGACGTACCTGAAGAGTCGTATCAGAAACCAAAATGGATGCGATCAAGCTGAATAAAACCGTTGTTACATGATGTACATAGAAATAATGCTCACGAGCATCTGGAAGCCTAACTGAATGGAGGAGTTCTTAAAGGTTTCTTTAGTATAAACATACTTCTCAGGTACTTTGATCCACTGGCCTGGAATGTACATAAATACCTACACGGATCCACCTGCATAGCATCTCCGCAACCCAAGATAATAGTGCCATGTATTCCTGCTTTAGAGCAGAGAAGGCTACTTTCACCAAATGGACAATTACCTACTTCCACGGCGGTGGCCGACTTTGAAGAGATAACTGCTAGCTGATGCCTCCATGGGTGTAAATTTTCGCCGTAGTTGGTTTTACTAAGTTTATTCTACATGGGCTTACACCATTTATTTTCTGCTTCCTTTTTGACTGTTCCTTACTCGTTAAGTCAGATATCAAAGCTGATATTCCTTGAATGTTTTAACTTAAAGTTATATCCGCTAAATTTAACTTGAGTTTGAGTAATCCTGGAGTCATGGAGCTACTGCGGCAGTCTACTTGTACACTCTTCACACTAAGACAAAACGACGTCATGATTTCCTGCTTTTGTAATTTGCTGCATAGAGGTAAATTCATTTAAGCAATTGCGTAAATTTCTGGCATGCTCACGTTTTTGTTAGAATCATTTATCCTGTTCACACAGGAACTTGTGACATCCCTTGATCTGTTCCTGTAATTGGTCGGTCGTGGGATAAACCAAAATTATAAAAATTCATACTGATGGCTATCCAATGGTGATATTATCTGAGAGGTGCTGTGGGCAGAATGTATTGTCTCAAGCAAGAAATCGTGACGTGTGTGTACACAAGTGTCGATACTCAATTTGAATTCGTAAAGATAA